TCCAAATTTAATAGTCTATAGACATCTTTTTTTTATTCTATTCCATTAGTCCTTAATGTTCTATATACACATTCCCTTCAAACAAATATGGCCATACGGAAGTAACAGAAAATATATTTACCCTTGTGGACACGCACATTTGCCCTTCAAACATTTTCCTGTCTGTTGATGAACAGCACAGTAGACATCATATTTTTTACTTTTCTGGCTGGCAACACATTTGCATCTAAACCATATTACATCTGAAGTGACAGTAGTCGTGTCAGAAAACTAAAATGAGACAGAAAAATGTATACATAATCATTAACTCATTAAACTTTTAGATTTAGTGGTCTAAAGTGCTAATGTAATATAAAATTTAACTAGCATAAATCTAAATCTTTCTAATGTGTTCATCAAGAAAAAAGAGACAATCTCAACAAAGCCTTCATAATTAATATGTTCAAGTTATTTGTGCTAGGCCTAGCCTATACTGGCTAGTGGCTATAGATACAAAGTAACAGCTACAGCACAATGTTGACAGCGAAATTCAATATTAACAAATTCTTTAAAAATGGGTAGAACCGAACATTGAAGGACAGAAAGAACACATGAGTACAAGTTTAGAATCTACCTCTTTAAAGAAAAGATCCTGAACGTCCCCGTCGTCGAAATGCTTCTGACCTCGCTCCAAACATCTGCTGTTTCTTCCACTTCCATCCACAATGTGACTATATACACTCGAAAATTTTAAAGGGGGTATCACCTCAACGCTTGGATCTTTCGTGTATCCAACTTCCTCAAACTCAAAGTTACAGCAGACGACATCTATCTTACTGTAAACCGGTCTTTTATTAAGCTTGTAGACTTCTTGACCACCATATATAAGAGTCTAAAAAAATTCACGTACTATCGTGAGTTACGAATGTCATATGTAGTGCGCATTTTTATACATGTAATTAATTGTGTTCGTTTCACAGGTTATAGTCTATAGATGAAATTTTTCAGGGTCGTTTTTCCATGCCAAGTTTAGATAAGATTTAAAGTTGTTTAAAGATTTTGAATTGACCAAATAGCTAGGTAATGAGTTCCAACTGTCAATGGCACGAACTGAAAAGTAGTTTTTTCTGACATCCAATCTTGTGTGTGGCTTGTTCAGTTTAAGATTATGGCCTCTGGTGTTACTGTAGGTTGATATCGAGAACATGTTTTTGTCTACCAGTGTATCTATGTTGTTTAAAAATCTGTATATCTGGATAACATCAGCGCGTTTTCTTATGTATTTAAGAGTGGGTAAACCTAGAGCTTTCAGTCTTTCAGGGTAGGTAAGATCTCTAAAGTGGGGAAGTATCTTTGTCGCTCTTCGTTGGACATTTTCAACAGATAGGCTGTCTTTTTTTAACATTGGGCACCAAACTGTTGCATCATATTCCAGATGTGGTCTGATTAGGCTTTTGTACAGGGGCAAAAACATATCTTTGTCCATGTTAATGAAGGTTCTTCTTGTCAGTCCTATTAACCTGTTAGCTTTCT